CCCTACACGGGGAGGTTTTACCAGTGAAGACCTTGAGTTAAGTTATTTAGGCCCAGTTACCTCCTGGAAGTGATCCTAGCACTGATTCCTATCTTCATAAACATTAGGAGCTCTGGTAGGGGTAGCACTCACCCCAAACCTTTCTTCTTGCATGTCCCTTATGCCTACAGCCAACCCCACATTAGTGTCCCAGTGTGGATCCCTTTCTCTCAAACCCCCAAAGGGGAATTTACCACATGCCCTGGATGTGCTTTTACCATCTAACTTGACTACTCAAGTGAAGAATCACAAAAGATCAGTGAAGAAACAGAAGATCAGTCAGTTCCAGCTCACATCTAATTGCCCATAGATGATTACCAGACCACTTAAAAAGAATTGGCATTTGAGATTCCAGTTGAGACATTCAAGAAAAATCGTGCGCACTTCTGGGCACCCTCTGCACTTTGGTTCCTCGACATGTTGCAATGCTGATTAATGACTGACTCTTAAATCTTGCCAAGCTGCTTTGGCAGACATCTGCCTCTCTCATTCCAGCATCCAGTACTATGGCAGATCGATACTATCAAGCCTGGCTTCAGGGATTTGAACAATTTATACTCCTTGCATGCCTAGCTTGCTGGTAGTTGTAGCTGCAGACTAATGGATGTGGCAAAGGAAACATTCACTTGGCACCTTCATTCTGTAGAACCTAAAAGAATTGTGCTTATTTGCATGAAAAAAATCTCTCTTATTGAGCCTTCAAATGAGTGGTCAGTTAACCAGTCCTGTTGATCTAAAATATGATTGCAGTAATTGGGATTATGAGGAAATTTGCAAACAAACTTCCATTGGGCAGCAAATGTCTGTAAGTCCAGGAGTGAGCTCATTGCCTGGACACCTCTTCAGGCAGCTCTACCCACATTGTAGGGAACTTGAACTGCCTTGGAAAAGGCAAAAATCTACAGGTGCTGATGTGGATCCCTTGCCATGTTTTCCCATCAGTGCCCTTCAACAGAATATTTGACTGACTTGTTCACGGCAGCTTTCAGATGCTTGTGTATCTATCTTCTAGTCATGCCAGCCCTATGTGGGAATCGTTCCCATGAGTTCTGGCACACCAGGACTACTGACCAGCAGGAAATAGTGGAGTGGAGATCATTCCATCAAGTTTCAGGCCCTTCTTACCCAAGCACATGAAATCAGGAGGCTCCGTTCCTTTATACCTCCCCACCCCCAGAGCAGTGACAGAAGTTCCTCAGGAATTCAGAGAGGGGGCATTTTTAATCTTCTCTGATTCCCAAAAAGAAGCTGAGAGACCTGTTCTGGACTCAAGATGGTTAAACAGCAACTGTGGAAGCTCAAGTGCTGTTTGCTGATGGTAGCTTCTGTAATCGCATCTCGATCTGAACAATTGCTATGTGGCCCTTGACTTCCTCCCCCTTGCAGTTCACTCACCCACGGAAGATAGCTGAGGCTTCTCGTGGGAAGCTGTCATTATCAAGATGTTACCATTTGGCCCGTTGACAGCACTGTGGGTGTTCACAAAGTGCCTTGCAGAAGTGGCCACTTACCTTCAAAGGCTGATGTGTTTGAGAGACTTCAGCTGGATGCTAGCCAGCACCAAACATTGTGCAAATGGGTCAGTTAAGGTAAAACCACGATTAAGATTTAAAGCTCACTCCGTTGAAACACTGTCAACTTTCTGTTGCCTGCCTGGGAAATGTTCCCCTCCTGAGCACTGATAAGGGTAACTTCAAGGTCACCGATTCGTGTGTTTGCTTAATACTTTTGTGGTTTTGGAGGTATCCAGTTCTGGGAAACTTTGGCAGAGCTGCTGTATGGTCATTATTTACATGTGCCTTTTGGGACTTGGATCACTGTGAGTCACCAATGCTGGGCTCTGTGTAACAGCCAGTCACTTGAAAAAGAAATGACCGGTTACCCCAGAGTAATTGCATTTCAAGTTGCATTGTCCATTATACTTATGTATCACGACTCTCCTCCCAGCCCCACTGCTACGGTGCCTCACAGTGTCAGGACTCTATAATGAAGCAGTTAAGGGGCAATGTGTGTACTTTGTGTCCTTTGGTGGTTGAAGAGCACTTAAGGCACAGAGCAACAACCAATGAGTACTGCTGACCAACAGAATACTTTTTAAGTACACAGTGTGGAGCACGTGTGTGTGTGTGTGTGTGCGTGCGTGCGTGCGTGCATGCATGTGTGCGTGTAAATAAATGCATTTTGGACAATTGGGCAAGTAAGTGTTCCATGCGGGGAATTGAAGGTACTTGCATTCCAAACTTAATTTACTTTTGTAATGAACGTAAGAACAGCGACGTAAGTGTTTGGTACATGATCTCAGCTGATTTAACTAGGCTTTCAAAGTCACGCTTGAATGAAGTTGTCATTGTAAAGAATGTTAAGATCTTTAAAAGGCAAAGATAAAACAGAGGCGGAACTGAATAGATGTCACTTCTCTACTGTCACATTAGTTTAAATTGGGTCTTTTTTTCTTTTTTTTTTCCAGGAGACAGATGAACTTTACATTGTTTCACAGTTTTTTGTAGAAGAATGGAGGAAATTTGTTAGGTAAATCAGTTCCTATTTAAAATCTTCTCTTTATTCCTTCGTAGAGATGCGTGCAGTTTTTGACCTTTGGGTGGTAACATTCATATGATGCAGTGTAGAATTGTGCTAAAATAGCTGGCATATGGGTATATACACTATGCACTTGTGAAAATAAGGAAACCTTTTTTTTACCAAATCCTTGAGCTTCTATCCGTTGTGATCACTTGAAAGAAAACCGCGTTATTTTGTCTTAACCAGATGGTTAGCTTATAGTAAACTGGTAAGGTTTTTTTCCTATAAATAAAGCAATATCATGATCAAAGGACATAACTTTCCTGCTTCCATGGACTTTCAGTGGTCTGAGATTGGAAATATTCTGTAGATATGAGTAATTTAACAATATACAATACTGATACAACAGTTTAATCTTCGTGTATAGTTTTCTATAAACAGTCAAATACTTAATCTCACACCGTCTTATGAATGAAACTTTCTCTCTGACTTTGCAAACTGCTTACATTTGTTTTCCCTTCTCGTGTTTGGAGCAGGAGGCCTACAAGATGCAGTCCTGTATCATCCGTGGGAAACAGTGCTCTCCTGTGTCCACATGGGGGCCTTATGTTCACATACGCTTCCATGACCAAAGAAGATTCTAAACTGTGAGTTTCTTCCGTTCACTCGTCTGTCTTGTCCAGTATTTTCTTCCCTCCTGCATCCTAAGAAATATATACCGATCAAATGCCTCGTATAGCTAGCATCGTCAATCTCTGTGATCGCAGTATGCTTGCCTGGGAGAACATCACTTTTTAAAATGAAATTGATGTGGAAACCGAGTAAGAGCTATGTTACTCTTCAAGATGACATCCAGTATTAAGTGCCAGAATGAGGGAAGATACATGCTGTAAAAAGAAATCCGGCTGGCATAGTAGATCTCGCTATTAGAAAGTAAGCTTTCCTTAAGTAAGCCAGACCTATTATTTGATGCTTGAGAATTCACTTTGTCATCTTCAGAGTACAACGGGCTTGAGCTTTCCTCAAATTTACTTTCCATCTTCAGAATACTGGATGTAGTCAGCAAATCCCATGCTCTGTGACATTGCTTTTTTCAGCTGCACAAGGCTTCCACCTCTGTGCTTGCTTTCTTTCCATCTCAACCCTTCCTTCCTCCATAGCTTTGCTTTAGGTTCTACAAGGACTCTTACATGTAATTGTGACCTAATAAGGCTTCTTTATCCTCTTAGCATGGCTGCCAGTCTTGTCTAGTGTTGATCTGCATTTTTTGCTTTTTAAAAGAAAACAGTTAACTGTTTAAAGGTTCTGAAACCTAGAGCCTAGCCCAGTTTGCACAGTCTCTTACTGACACTTAAACTACAAGATTGAAGGTGTGGCTTGGCTTTTCTATGTCATGAAGCATGTTGTGTTTCTTTGCACAGTATAGCTCTAATATGGCCCAGCGAGTGGGAGATGATACAAAAGCTATTTGTTGTGGATCATGTAATCAAAATCATCAGGACACTCGCTGATGACACGAACCCTGAGAGCGCACTTTATGATTCTGAGCCTAGTAAGTGAGTCTTGTCATCTTTGCTAATGGTTCTTTCCCCAGGTGGCACTGATTCCTGTGGGGTGAGGGAAGGAATTGTCACTTTGGCATAAATAGTCAAACTTTTAAGGGAATGAAGAAAAGGTAACTTGCATTTTCCGGTAACTCAGCTGCAGCATAAATGCACTTTCCAGAATATGCCCCCCGTTTGAGTCACTCTAGATTTAAATTATCATGAAAGATACTGAATATTTATAGCTGTATTTTTTTTTCAATGTCATCAAAAGAACCGTAGGTATTTAACCACACTTTTTTTCCTTTTTTATCCTTGCAGAATTGTGTCCAGAATGCAGAGAAGGGTTGTTATGCCAACAGCAGAGGGATCTGCGTGAGTACACCCAAGCCACCATTTATATACATAAAGTGGTGGATAATAAAAAGGTACTGATCCTTTTTGTGGCCACTGTCAGCCTTTACTGAATTTCATTAAAAGGAGACTGTATTGATTTCTTATATTTAGTAGTCTGTACAGCTAAATAGAAACCTATCTAATAAGAATGTGTGGTGGCAGGGAGTTGTCCAAGGCTGTTCTGAGAAATGATTTAACTTTGTTTTGGGGTCTCTGTTTTGTGAATGAAGCTCTCAGTAGCAACTGCTAATGATTTCTGTCTGGTGCCGGTAACTTTTAATATTACATAGGAGTGAAAGCATCCCCTTGCCTACCTTTTGGAAGCTGTTATAACTCTTTACATTTCTGTTTCGCATTCACCAAAAATGACAAATTGTAAAATGTTCATTGTGACAATTTTGAAAGCATGTCTCTTTTGAAAGCTTTCTTTTGCAAAAATCAATTCTTTTGGTTTTCTTTACATCACCAGATGTTAAGTTAGGAGTTTCCTCCTCTGTTTATTTATTGAACACATTTTTGTGTCTGTTTTTTATAATTACGTGTAATCATCAGACTCCCATGCTTTACTTGGATGTTCCTTTTACATTTGCTATTTACCATCTGTAAATTTACCCTTATTTCCTGCATTGAAATAAAAACACAATATAATATATCAAGTAGCACAATATAAGCTAAGATGCTTTTCTAAAATTTGATTCAAGTGAAATACATTTTCAAGGGTAAATAATTATCCCAAATTTTGCTTTTCACATACTTAAAAGTTCCTTGTGAAAAGGTTCTAGTCTTAATTTTCTTAATAATTCTTGGCGATTAACCAAGACTGAGAGGAAAGCTCAGATAAGGTGTTAAAAAAACAAAAAGAAACAGCTGATGATGGTAAGATGACATGTGTATGTGGGAAGGTCACAGGATTTCTGTTGTACTAGGACTTTCTGAAGGGCATAATGAATAGAAAAACACATTTCACTGATGCCCATCAGCATGCCAGTTGTGGCTAAGTGTAACCCTGCTCCGTTGTAACGTTCAGGTCGGGAGTGCTGATATTTCAGGATTCAGAAGCTTCGTAAGTGCTTTGAAGGGTAAACAGCTGGCTACCAGGAGGGTGGGGAGCTCAGACATCTTGTAATGTGACTGCACAGTATAATATGTTCAGGCAGTGAGTTGTAGGAGCTGTTGGATTTTTTTTTTTTTTTTTATAGACCCTAAAGCAGGCAAATTTTATTGACCCTTCCTAATTAGTGTATGTGGGACACAAGCTAGCTCTCTGGAGAAGGAGGTTAAAATATTTAATGCACATGAGAAGCATAGTTTTTAACAGGTCTGCTATCCATCCTAGGGGGATGTAAATAGAGCCATAAGAATTGCTTTCTTATTGGTGAGAGCCAGATCCTGGTTGCTGCACTGGCTCCTAAAGCATGGTGAATGCCTTTGACTTCTGTTGAAAAGTGGAGCAAGCTGCTCCTTGTAGAATCTAGTTTCGAATAAGTACAAGAGTTAACAGGGTTGTGAGTGTTCAAAAGCTGTTGGCACCAATCTCGAGGCCAGGGTTTTGGGGCATGAAATTCTAGCTTCGTCTCTGGTGCCGAGATGAGCAGAATCGGAGTACAAGACTGGAATTGGCACGTATGCAAAGCATATTGCTGATTGTTCCTGTCTGGGCTCTTTGAAGTCAGCTGGGATTCAGAAACATTTAAATGACTCTGCAAGTCATCAGTCAAAATATCATTGGTACCAGTATATTATTACTCTCCATGAATACTTATTCATTGGTGGTGTAGCACCAAGCATTCCATGGTTCCTGGCAGAGAGAATTTCACGGAATCACAGAAAGCGAGGGTTGGAAGGTCCTTAGGAGGTCACATCTAGTCCAGGCCCTTCTCAAAGCAGGACCAGCCCCAACTACATCATCCCAGCCAGGTCTTTGTCTAGCCGGGTCTAAAAAACTCCAAGGATGGAGAGTCCACAACCTCTCTGGGTAGCCTGTTCCAGTGTTTTACTATCTTCCTAGTGAGAGTTTCTCCAATATCTAACCTCGACTTCCCTTGCTGCAACTTGAGCCCAATGCTCCTTGTCCTGTCATCTGCCACCACTGAGGACAGTCCAGCTCCATCCTCTTTGCAACTGTGCTGCAGGGAGTTGAAGGCTGCTATCAAATCCCCTCTCAGTCTTCTCTCCTCTAAACTGTTTGCTGAATGGTGGCTATTTGAACTAACAACTTTCTTTAACGGATTTATTTGCTTGGCAAGTCAATTAGTGTTTTCTCCCTTGTACACCCAAGTGCCTGCAGTTCAAGGTGGCCATAAGTACCTCTCTGTAATTCACAACTTTGGTGAACATTATAATCATTTATCAATTATTGATGAAATTAGGGGAGAGGATGAACAGCTTATCTTTTCATTTTCTAGCCATTGATTTATATCCTATAAAGGAGAGGGAGCCCTAATAGGTTTCAGGTGCTGCAATGCAGGGAATATAGTGGTGTCTTTTTAATTGAACCTACTTTTAAAAAGCTTTCAAAACTGAGAATCGGGTATTGAGGCTGGAGATATAGTATATAACGCTAGAAACATTCCAGCCTCAGATGGTGAGGAGCACAGGGGTAGTACAGACATATATGTTAGCCTAATGCAAGTGTTCACTATAAAGTAACTTAGCAATTATAGATCAGAATGAGGAGAATTATTTAAATTATTTATTCACAGTATACTTACAAATGAACACCAGATCAATAAAATAACCCTAAGGAGCACCTCTGCCAGTCTGCTAAAGGCATGACCCAAGTGTGTGATTCAGAGCATATTAGTGTCTCTTTATTATGGCTTTCACGGCACACTTATTTAGGCTGAGAAACTCTTGGTTGAAGGGGAAAGAATTCAGCTGTGGCTCCTGGTGACCACCATTTGTCTGCAGAGGGAAATGGGTCCTGAGGCACAGGAAGCACCAGAGCCCTGCCATAGATCCTGTACTTTAACCAGCACCCAAAACCCAACTGAGGACATGTAACCCTGGCCTTCTCTCTCGTACAGTCTGCTGTGTCCGAGACCGAAGCAGCCCAAACACCTGCCGGGAATCGGCCTTCACAGTGCCCATGGGGTTGATCCCTGGTGTCCTTATGTGCTGTTGCGTTTTCATTAAAACAGCACCCTTAAAAACACTGTGGAGACAGCTTGTCCTAGTCAACTTGAGGTTTTCTAGCTGTTGGGACTGTTCTGCAGCATGTGGTTTTGTAACTGCAGGTAATGAAGGAGGCTGCCCCAGAGCTGAATGTGAGCAGTTCGGAAGCTGAAGAGGAAAGGGAAGAAAACAAACCAGAAGGGGAACAGGACCCAGATTTTAACCAGGTAGAGATCTGAAAAGCGGCGGAGTTTGTAATGTTTAGACTTTGCCCATTGGTACTGAGGAACCCACATCTGAACTTGCACAATCTTTGGCACAATGTGGGAGTCATTTCCATGTACCGTTACTAGTTGGAACAAGAAACATCACCCTCCTCACTTCGAATCATGTTCTTGTCATACTCTTAACAGCAAAGATTTTGTAACTGGTTTTCATGTCTTCCTATTTTAGAAACTAATTTTTCTTGCCCAGTGTTGTTAACAAACGTGCAGGCAACACTTTATTTCTGTTTCACTTATGTTTTAATAAGGGTCAGAAATAGAAAATGTACGGTAGGAAATGTAAGGTTTATATACTTAATGTCAGGTGGTGGCAGTTTATATTGTTGGCTTACTCGTGGTGTCGGTTCCTTTAAAAGAACACTAAATATTCCATACCCTGCTAGCTTTACAAGTGGATGTCTTACAGTCCTTGCAACCTCTCTGTGATGCCCATGTGTGTCAGTTCATCCAACATGCGCTGCAGCGCTTTCAGCATCCCTTGCTGAAGTTACTTTGTTCACTGCTGTCTGTGCAAAAGGACAGGAGAAGCTGCCTTAACGAATTCAAGACAAAATTTCCTGTATCTCGACTTTATCTCTAGACTAATGGTGGTACCAAGCGGCAGAAAGTATCCCACCAGAATTATGTCACTTACCAGAAGCAAGGCATCAGACGGAGTACACGACACAGGAAAGTCAGAGGGGAAAAGGCCCTGCTTGTTTCTGCAAATCAGACGCTGAAGGAGCTGAAAATACAGGTGAGGTAAACTTCCTTTGGTTCCTAAAGACACGGTCCTTTGTTATCATGGCTATGCTAACGGCAAGGAGTTAAATAGCCAAGCAAAAATGCCTTGCACTTGTGTCTGTAATGTAGGAAGATCTAAAATTGTGTTAAGATTAAGAAAGAACCAAACTACAAGACCAATTCACAACCAGATCTTACCTCCTCTACCATGGACAGAAAGGTCCTAAACACAGCAGAGCTGCCACAGGTTTGGCATCAGAGGCAGTGTACAAGTTGATTCTTGGAAAGCATTGCTCACTGGGTGACAGCCTGAAAGGGCTGGATCCTGCCATGATACGGTAGTACCTTTCAGTCCAGTGTGGCAGGGAAAGGAACATGGTTTTCTCTCTTACATTTGGTATTTGTGTAGGTCTATTGTATATTTTTCGTTTGCCCAAAACTGGTGTGTTTTATTGTGTTGGCACAGATCATGCATGCATTTTCAGTTGCTCCATTTGACCAGAATTTATCAATCAATGGAAAGATACTCAGTGATGACACTGCAACGCTTGGCAACCTTGGAGTCATTCCAGAGTCAGTCATCTTATTGAAGGTAAATTGAGAAGTGGGGTGGGGGCTGCTGGAAGGAAATGCTGCCTGGAAACAGAAATGATATGAGAGTGCTTGAGTCTGGAAATGTGCAGTCGTAATTCCTGTGCTCGCGTTGTCTTTAAGTGCTGTAACTTCACAAAGCCTAACTGATTTTTACACTGATGATACATGTGTTTGGTGCATTTAGAATCTCATGCACCAGATCCGTGAGCAGAGCTGTCAAAATCCAGGTTTTGCAGTTCAGTCTTCACTCTCTTCCTTATGAGCACTAAACCATGTAACCTCATTAATAGATTCTCCTACTTAACTTCTTGATCTTCTTGAGGGGAAATATGTTGTTTCTTTAAAGATCACTTATGTCTGGTCAAGCCTAATTAATGCCCTAGCAAGTGTCGCTGTGAAGCTGTGTGCTTGTCAGTTTAACAGGCAGCAGATGGCCAAAAAAACAACCAGTATATTAGCATTCCAGATTAAGTATCTTCATCCCTCTGCTCCGATGCCCCCTTACAAATGTGCCACTTAAGCAATTTGGAGGTGCCAGTTCAGGAAGGGATTTTGAGAGATGCTTAAATGATTTCAGCGAGATGGAAGCATATGGTTCTAAACCACAACAAATTTTTCCAGCTTTCTTTTCTTATCACTCGCTGCCCTAAAACAACCCTGCTCTGGGAGCAGATCTTGTTTGCGTTCCTCTCTGATCTGTTCAGATACACAGCAGCTAGATTCCTTCCCTCAGCTACTAGGACCTCATAGCTTTTCATGATCGTGCCAATTTTATTTTATTTTTTTTTGGTTCAGTGTTCGGTTTGTTTTATAGGCTGATGAACCCATCGCAGATTATGCAGCAATGGATGATGTTATGCAAGGTAAAGAAGAACTCATAACTATGTTCTAGAAACATTCTCATTTGTAGAAACAGTGTTTCTGCTCAGTGGTTTAAACACAAATTATGGCCATACGGAACCAAGCTGAGCCTGGAACGGGAAATGTTGAAAGAGAGAGAGGCTGATTTGTAGAGTTCAAGTCATACAAGAAAGGTGGGAGAGATGGACTAGAGACAGCAGTGTTGAAGATCTTCCCATAGCCGTCAGCTGAATATTCAGTTGACAGCTTGAAATATGCTTTAAATCAGACACCTGATTCTTCTGGAAGGCATGTCACTGGAGGCGTCTAATACATTATCCTTTTTCCTTTCAGTTTGTATGCCTGAAGAAGGATTTAAAGGTAAGGCATTTATTTTTTTCACCCCTTTGTTTAAACCTATGAGCCTACATTTATTTCATCTTAAAAGTGTGTATTTTTTTGTTTGCTTCCAGGGACTGGTCTTCTTGGACACTAAAGGTTTTTTTTATACCCGCTGGCAGCAGAGAAATGACCAGAAGGGAAGAGGATTTTGACATGGTAGGGCATTAAAAGCAAAGGTGGATATATAGGACTCAACAGTTGCTTGACTCTTCCAGAAGGCAGAAACCAATTCTGAAATGACTGCCCCAAAATGCCTTACGTCAAAGCAGATTGCACTGAAGGACATCCTGACTTCAAGAGAGCGTCTCAAATTTTATATTTAATAAAGCAAAGTAAGGTTGCAAAGTTTAGTAGCAGTAACAGTATATCGTGTTTACAGACAGAACTTTCTAGCTGAGGAAGGGAGTGGCATTTTATTGTATTTCCTTACTCAGATTTCATACCACGGTCATCTTTCCATAATGGAATTGTAATATAGTAGATCAAAAACATCTTGATCTGTCCTAAAGTAAGTCTTTAGACATAAACCTGCTTACAGATATCCTGTCTTTGATCCGCTATTACTCTTTCAGTACAGCATGGAAGTAAAGAAATTGTTAATTGTGAGGAATGTCTAGCTTTTTCAAACTTCATATATGTACCCCAAGATGTAAGCTGTGGCCCGCCTATGAAAGCCTTCCATCAGTGATTCTTAGACGCAGAGATCAAGGGGCTGGGAGACTTCCCCCTTCCACTGTCTCTGGAGACTTTATTATCACGCACTCATCCTTTTGCAGTTTCACTTCCAAACATTACGATCCTAACTTTAATAATCACATGGTCTTTCTCTGTGAAACGTGTTTTTAGAAATGTTGACTATTTTAACAACTTTTGATAACATCTTTCTCCAGTATGCTACTGCCAAGAGCCAGAAATCCTTTACACTCTACAGATCAGTTTGGGAGCCTTGAACTGATCTTTGCTAGAACATCTGAGTCAGAGCTACCAAAGGGGTTGGGGGGTCATGTTTGGGTAACGCGGTTGTTTTTTTTACGTAACAAGACTTTCTTTCTGTTGTCATTCCCTTCTTTTCAGGAAAGCGCTAACACTTTTTTGATACATCTTCTGTAATTCTCAGAAAGGCTCTCTTCCTGGTCCTGTTAAATATTACTAGCAGGACGTAACGTACCACTCGAACACCGAAAAAGGGCACTGCCAAGGCCTTTTTCATAATCAAGTTAGAGATTTCCTGGTACCTGCATAGACTTAAATGTCTTCCCTTAGCAAGAGAGTCTTAACTGATTTGTACGCTGGCTCTTGACAACAATTCTGAGGTTTGGGCTGTTATCGGATCATTTTATTTTTTAAAGGACTGTTTGAGCAAAAGTAGCGTATTAAAAAAGCAGAAGCTTTGCAGGCAAGGGGGACAGGAGTGGAGGGGTTGGGGGCGGGATATGAAAATATGGACCCAGTAATCTTGGTAGCGGTCTTTTTAAAATGTACCTTTTATCAGAGTAATTTTGGCTGCCTGTCATAAAACGATGAGTCTTTGTCCTTTCTCTCTCTGTTGTTTTCATCTGTCTATATTATATTGGTCTCCCCTCCTGCTCTTCCTGAATCATTTTGGGGAAGGGTGCTGGGGAGTTCCGGCAGCAAGTGTGGACCAGTGAGTTGCAAAACAATTGGCATAAAGTGTGCTACGTGGAGCAGCTGGGAAGCCACTGATAATGGCTTTGAAATGATTTGGAAAGGGCAGCTTCAAGCTAAGATTTGCCTCTGGCTTGACTTTGGACCTCAAGGTATGGGTTTGAATCCAGTAAGAGGGCTGGATCTTCGAGAGGTATAGCAGTGCAGCTGAGCAGTTTATTCTTTCCCAAGGTAAAGACTTCAGTAAAACTTCAGTACGCTGTTGTTAGTGCTTGATTAAGCAACTCTCCTTCCCTTGCAAACAGGTTTGTTTGCCTGCCAGAGATTTTATTCTACTTTCTAGACTGAAGCACGCACTCATGTACATAGCCCCTGGAAACTTGATATTTTTTTCAATTTGCTGTTATTTTATGATTTGTTACTAGGGCTCTTCCTTGAGATTAAAACATTGCAAAACTAAATCTCTAAACTTCACAGGGAAGAATTGCAAACCATGATGTACACGTAGACGCGGTTATACAGAGGTAACGTATAGATGTACCTTACGGCCTTGGCATTGCTGTATTTTACAACTGTGCAGAGGAAGCAGGTACAAGATGTGATCAAAGGCACATTTACTGTTTTGTCTGTATTTGCAAACATTGGACTGAAATTGTCATTTGAGCTGTGGAAGCCTTATTAAAGTGCATACACATGGTCTATCTGCTCTTAACACTGCATAAAGCATTTTTTTTACTTTGATTGGTTTGGATATCTTGTGTGACGTTTTATGTCTTGTTTTCCTAACGCTCTTGAGAATTACGTCAGTCTGACCCGTTAACTGTCCTCGGGTTGAGCATGCCCCGAAACAGAGCTAATGGTCGGGTGGCAGAAGAATAAATGGTTTTAATTTTGTAGTCGAGTAAAAACTCAGGGTTCCTACGGGCAGTGGAGTACTTGCGGGGTCAGAGAACAACATCTGCTGGTAGAAAAACACTCTACCTGTAAACCCGTACGTGTAATCCTAATTGATTTCTTCTTATTGGCGTGTTTTGTTGTTCTCGAGCTAACAGCCAGGATGGTAATTTAAATTGAAAGACCTTGTTCAGATAAATGCAGGTGGATGCAATTCTTTTGCCTAATGGCATCGTACAGGGATAGATGGGGGGAGTAAGGTCTGTGTTACCCCCTCAGCTGCAGAAGCATTCCTGTAGTGCTTAATAATATACTTCACCGTGGTGCGAGGAGCCAGGCTGAAGGAGTCTGAAATAACACAGTTGAGTCAGGGTTCGCGTGAGCTGCATGACTGCCTCCCATCAGAGGCCTCGGACAGACGGATCAGACTAATGTCCTGAAAATATGACGTGGGAATGACTAGCTTTACCTGTGAAGCAGATGAAGAGGAGCCATTCTCAGCAATTGAATGGGGGAGGCGGGGAAATACCCAGTGCAGCAAATAAGACTATATCAGAGCACGTAGGTGTTTGGACAGAAATTGAAGTCCTAGGCGGAATAAACGTTCGACGAACCAGCAGCCTTAGACCGGGTGATCTCTTCTTCAGTATGTAGAGAACTGGGCCTTCATGGTTCAAGAAGACTCCTTTGTGTGGCGTACAATTTGGCAACTATTCCCCTGCAGAAGCAAAAATAACTCTGCTGCAGTAATTGTCCTTCAAGACAGAGGTGTTTCTATATCAAGTGCAGGCAGCACTTAACACGTGACTGTAACAAAGCCCACTTCAGTCGAGACAGCTGTAGCTTAGAGCATTTGGCCTCCTGTGTGACCTTCCAGATTGGTCTGGTTCTCCGTGTATGATAAGATAGCTGTGGAGGTAGAGGGACCATTTCGCATCCTCAGATCACTCATGCCTCCGGTAAGGATCTCCTGCCTCATCTCTCAGCCCTGCAGCTCAGGACTGCTTTTCTCCTCCTAGTCTTATCCCATGACGGTGCTTCACAGGCTATTTCTAAATCTGCAAAGACACCACTTCCTGCTCTTGGTGTGCAGCGAGGAGCTGAGCCCTCCACAGCAGCAGACTTGGTGTGGAAGCAGCAGCTGGACTTGTGTCCTGTAGCTTAGCTGCAAGACGCTCGAGGGATTGCTCCTGTTGTTAATGGGTGAAGGCTCTGTAGAGTGAAAGGTAGAGCTGGGGCTCTCGTGTGGGAGCTGGGAAGACATTTTAAAGCCAGATCCCATCTCCCAGCCAGCTGGAGCTCAGGTCCTCACCCTGCCTGTTTTTAACATACAAGCAACGAATGCAGCATAGACCAACAGACTTATTTTACTGGGACTCTGGTCACAAGGAGGGAGGGCTTAAGTTCTTATTTGGGGTAAACCTATACATCCCTTTTAAACAAATAGGGTATTGTCATGCCAGGCCTGGCCTTTCAGAAAGGGCAGTTCACATCTCTTCTTTCCTACTCAAATCCTTGCTAGTCCTGTCTTGTAGCACTCTCCCCAATCTCAAATGCCCTGCTGAAATAGGAGCTGAAGTCTTAGCCATTTTTTCTCTGCTGAGGAGCTCGGTGTGTCCTGAGCTAGCTTGTTCTTCCGCACCCTCTACCCACTGCACCCTTGTGATTTATAGCATGGCATCTCATCTCCCTCCCTGGGTATTTTGGTCACCACCCTCCTGCTGGCTGGATCGCCCTTTTCCACGCAACCAGGTCCTGAAGTTGCCGTGCACCCTTATGGCATCCCTGAGGAAGGGGATAGCAGACACAAATGCTTCTTCCAGCTGTGGCACCTGGCATCCTCATGCCTCTTCCTTCGCACACCCACGGCTTCCTACCCAGCTGTTACCCATCGTTTGATAGCAGCAGAGATGAGAGCTCTCAAGCAGACCACGAGCCTTCGGAACCAGATGAGCGCTGAGGATCTGGAACGATCGTCTGGAGAGGCGGATGGATGCTGCCCTGCATCGGCATCCCAGTCAGGTCTTAAATGAGGCCACAAGCCATAAGATGGCTTTGATGGGGAGACTAGCGGTCATGAGATGTGGCTGTCAGGATGCCTGCATGAAATGCATTGGTTTCTTCCATCCATTTCCTGGGGGCCGGGTGCCCACATCACAAGCCTAGTCCCGTGGGTCAGGTTAGCATGGGAGGGAGCCTGCATTTCTTCTGTTCTGCTGGGTCTCATCCTTGGAGAGAGAAGAGCCACTTGTAGCAGCTCCTCTGCCAGGCTGGAGTCCGCACAGATACTTGGAGGCAGGCTGAGAGCAGCTTGTGGGACCTGGGTGGCAATATGAAAACCCAGGCTGGAAGGTAGAGCGCTTGCGTAGGGGAGCCGTCTACCTGCACCCATTCCCCAGGGCCCAGGCTCTTGTTCGCAGACCAGCCGTGGTCTGTGCTCCATTGGCGCCAGGCCCTGCACATTGTTGGCAGCCACCTCTGATGCCGCTTTGCACAGACACAGACTGCTGCCAGGGCCGTGACGCAGTTTGCTCCCGCCCGGTTGGCACTAGCTGTTCTGGCAGCAGTGCCACGAGTAGGATGCCAGTGTTTCCTAGAGGTTCTTGGTCCCTGTTTTCCTGCAGCTTGTGCTGTGGTCTCTTGCTCTTGGAGGAGGAGGAGGAGAGGTGCGTTTCGCAGGAGCGGCGCTGCGGGGTAGCTGAGACAGAGCCCAGATCCTGGAGCCTAACGGAGGCGGCTGCTGTTTTCTAGCTACGCCCCAAGCAACTCTTCAGGGTGTCTCATCTCGGAGTAGGGATTTGGCCTTTTCCTTTAGCAGGCAGAGGGACGGTGTGTGCAGGGAGAGACAGCAAAGACGCCCCAAAGTGTAGGCTCTTCTAGCGGCATAACTCTGGCCTGCTGGCGGGATTTCTCTGTGCTTCCAGAAACGCCGCGGTGCTCCATCTAACCACTGCCGACCCTGGCCATCCCCGTCCTCGCCCTGGGGCTCTGCTGCTGGGCTCCTCTTCATCCTTCATCACGCACGGGTGCGTTACTCCCACCTGGTGCCATTCCTCATGCTCCTTGGCCAAACCCACCCTTCGGCTCAGGCCACCGGCACATTTGGACAGCAAAACAAGTTGACGATCCGGTTTCTCCCAGCAACGTTGTTTTTAATGCTTCATTTCAATGCAGTTTTGGGCAGCAGCCATTTTATATTCTT